GTGTGTTGCCTTCACTAGGCTGACTGATACTGACACCTTTTACAGCAGAAACAGGAGATTGGACAGTTTCCGTTTTGCTCGCATTCACAATATTTGGACCTTCTAATGTGACACTCGTCTTTCTTTCCATCACGTTTTCCTTCCCATCCATCATGTTACCCTCCAAAACACCATTGTGAGCTTTAGTAACACTGCTGGGTACGTCAGGACGAATCTCAATCGTATTGGCTGCAGGACGCACATCACGTTGACCAACAACAACTCCTGCCTGGCCAATACCACCATTAAGTTGAGTTGCAAGAGACATATCATTAGAAGCGTGAGAAAAGGCAGGACCAGCAGGACCAGGGACAGCACGTTTAACAGCAGGTTTAACAGCAGGACCAGGATTATGTGGAGGAGGTAACGGCGAGTTGAACGTATTAAAGAGACCATTAGCACCAGGAACAGGACCAACCATACCAGGAACACCAACAGGACCAACTCCGCCAGGACCACCACCAGGACAAGGCACACCAGGATTAGGACAAGCACCATTAGGAATAACAGAAGAAGGCTGACGCATTTGTTGGGGACCAGGAGGATTAAAAGGAGGTTTACCAACACCAGCAACAGGAGGCCAACCACCCTGTTGGGGATCTAAATGATGAGGACCACCAGCAACACCTCCGGCAAATGCAGCTCCACCAGGGACACCAGGATAAGAGTTAGGGTGATTAGCCATCACGCATCCACAGAAGCAGTGCAGGATGACAGCCAGTAATAATAGCAAGTGGCTCATCATCTTCTTCATAGCCACAATAGTGGTAGTGGGTTTCGCTTACAAACTCTCAACTACAAAGAAAAAACAATATGACAGATTAACAAAAACATAAAGAATCGTTAAACACAACCGTGCACAAGTAGTGAAGCACAGACGAACGTCAACATAGTACAAACTAAAAAATCAGAAACAAAGCAATATAGAAAATTTAATCAGTAAAGGTCGAAGCAAAAGGACATCAATATCATCATAGACTACCGCAGTAAAGCATTGAATGCCCCAGCTAACCATAAGCAAACAAAAGATATTAACTATTAGCCCAACATACCCAGTAAACACAGAAATATAACAACTATGGGTGTAAATCTGTATATGTGTGTATATACGCAATTATAAATATAAATTCATCTGTTATTATTATTATTTCCTTTTTCCTCATTGCAAAAAGCAATTCATCATCATTATCACAGTGCAAGCCCAGGTGCACACGCACAGAGAGAGAGTCTCCAAGAACACACACACACAATGGAGTAGCAATAATAATTATTATAGGATAAACACACAGAGAGCAACAACACACAAAACAGATTAACATTAAGAAACAAAAAAAAGAGAACTCCCAACAGGTGAAAGATTAGTTAGATTGTAGGGATACATGCAAAAAAAGAAGAAAAGAAAACAAAGGATGATCTGAGTCACACCACTACCACCATTATTACAATCAGCACAGAAGAATACAGGCCAGTGTAACCACAATCAGTAGTGGTACACGCACCCACACAGAACTGCTGATACTGCTGCTGCTGTCTAAATCACCCTTTTTGCTGTTTGTGAGTTCAGGAGGAAGTGTTGTTAATGTGGTAGTGTTATCTGTATTACTTTCAACGCCTTCTTGGTTGTTTGTGGACTCCCTCTCTGTAGATGCAGTACCGTTCTCTGTCAGTGTAGTTTCAGATTCACCAGCATTACCTGTATCAGGTGTGTTGGGAGAAGAAGAAGAAGGTTGTGGTGCTTCATTTCTCTGGTTAGATGTAGTTTCTCCTGTTGTGTTGTTTCCGCTGTTTCCAGTTTGACCGTCAGCAGCAGCCACACTACTCCCATCAGCAGGAGATGCAGGTGTAGGAATAGCAGGTTCAGGATCACCAGGTGTTGGATTATTATGTGTAGGAGGAGAAGGATGAGAAGCTGCACTGGATGAACTAGAACCTGAACTCCCACCAGAAGAACCACCAGAACTTTCATCCACTTGACCAGACTCAATAACACTACCAGGTTCCACTCTACCACTATTAAGAGTGTTATCTGTATTTGTTTCCGTAGAAAGTTCAGAAACAAGTTTAGTTGGCTCTTCAGGAGCATCAGAAGAACGAGAAGAAAGCTGTTTAGCTCGTTCATCAGGAGAAGACTCTGAAGAACCAAGAGAAACTTCAGGTACCTTTACTCCAGTGGCACCTAATGGTTTGCTTAAATTTGCACCTCTGTGTTGTTTGACAAGATGACTTGCTTGTGATATCTCAAGTTCTGAGTCAGCCTGATCCGGTTCTTGACGTCTTTTCACTTCTTCTTCATTTTCAACTTTCTTCTGTTTAAGGTCCTCACCACCAGATCTGTGAGGATCAATGGTTGTACGACAACCATGAGAATCCGAATTATCACAAGGTGGAGACTCAGCAACATCTTCATCATACACAATCCAACTGCCTTGTTCACCAACATCCTCCGCAGAAATAGCACGACGAACAAGAGAAGGAATACCAACAGTGGAAGTTTTAATAAGGGCATCAGAAGCTTTAGGACTATCAGTCCATACTAACCCACAAGCACAACACAGTGCAAGAGTTAATAAACAGAGCAGGTAACACCTCACCATTACAGCCTTTGTCATTGTTGTGGTGTACTTCAATAAACTACAAGAAAGAAGAAGGAAGAGAAGAAAAAAAAGAGACACACATAGTGAGTGAATGCAGGGCACAAATACACACAGTGGGATAGAGAGAGAAGCAGTAACTACAGTAAAGCAACAAGAAGGAATAGCATTCTTTTCTGATAATATGTACCCCACAATAGAAAAGAAAAAAAAAGATAACACCACAATACCCAAATAAGAGAGAGAGCCAAACACACACACAATACCCCATGGCTCTAGTTTATGTATTAAATTACTGTAAACACACACATCTGTGTACTAGCAAGAGATGTATACCGTCAGTGAGCAGAACAGCCCAGTTTTCTGAACACACACAACGGAAAAAGCAAATAATGGAATTAATAAGAAAAAGAACACACACACAAAAGAAAAGAAATTCGAATTGAAAGAGAGAGCTGGTAAACAGATTATTAGTTTATTCACCCATGGGGGATGTACGCAATTATGATTATGTTAGTTTAACCATTATTTTCCCCTTAGATGAGTCCCACAGTTTAGTACATGGTAACGGAGAACAACACAGCCACAATCAACAGCGGTGCTGCAGTGCACATCCACACAGGACTGACACTGCTGTCAACATTAGTCTTCTGCTGTACAATGGGGGCAATGCTGCTGATCTCTGTGTTGGGTGCAGGAAGAGGAGATGGAGTGGTAGTTGGTGCATCTGTGGTAGTGTTCTCATTGCTCGGCGGAGTAGTTGTATTGGTACCGTGTAGGGTGTTTGTGACAGTAGTACCTGTGGCTGAATTATATTCTTCATTTTGTTGTTGTGTTGTAGTCGCAGCCGCCTCCATAGGAGGATGGTTACTGGAATTATCATCATTGCGTGGACTATTTTCTCCGTTATTTTCAGACTGAGATTGTAGGCTGCTTTGGCTGGAATTATGGTTTTCAGATGAGTCCGCAGTTGTATTCGTACGTCCAGCTGTTTGTGCGTGAGGTTCATTTTGTTGTGTGCGTTTTAAGGCGGCAGCATCTGTAGGTGTTTGTTCTATAGCCTTATCAGAAGGTCTCTCTTCTATAACTACAGTAGACAAAGGTAAGGGGTCAGGCATTTCCTGCGGCGGAGCCAGTGCGTTCTCCTCAGTCATCCCCTTCTTGAGCTCAGAAGCTTGTTCATCACTTTGGTTCCTCAAGTCTCCATCGGTTCCTTCCAACTGATGCGTCTCTGTTTGTAGTTGATGAGGATCCTGAAGGGACGTTGAAACCGTTTCCATCTCCAGCTTCTCCTTCTGCTTCTTCTTCTCTTGATTCCTGTCCCACTCAACTTGAAGAAGAGCAGAGTCATAACTTCCCAAAAACGCCATCACCGCCTTTGGTTGTCCATTAGTAGTAGTAGTTGTTGTTGTCGCTGCTCTTGCGTTACGCTGGCGGCAGAGGTCTGCGTACTTCCCACATGCAGACACACGGCTGCCCGCACCGCATGTAAGCCACTCGCTCTCAGCAGCGGGGCGTACACGCAGCGCACCGCCGGCCCCGCACGACACCTCCACAGCCCCACGGGATACACCACGGCCACTGGGACTGTCATTATCAACAACAGCAGCAGCCGTCATGGTATACCCGCAGGCACAGCACAGCACAACGGCCAACACACACATCACACGGCACATTATCATCATCATGAGATAGACAATAGTTTGGTTCACGTTAAAACACTGATCTAAAAAGAAAGAGAATAAAAAAGTAAAGAAAAGAAAATAACTGAAGTATCAAACATGTTAGGACACACAAAAATTGATTACCACTATGGAAACTCACATCGTGAAAGGAATTACACACCAGTTAAAGAATGCAATACAGCTCAATAACCTTAGTAAGAGTAAAAACAAAAAAAGCCCACACTCACGAATATTTCAAAAAAAGGCTGAACCGCCCAGCAAAATCATTAAGCAAACAAACAGATATTAACCATTAGCCCAATTTACCCAAGTAAACACAGAAATATACACCAACTATGGGTGTAAGTCCATATGTGTGTATATACGCAATTCTAAATATAAATTCATCTGTTATTATTATTATTTCGTTTCTTTTCCCACTACAAAAAACAATTCATCATCATTATCACAGTGCAAGCCCAGGTGCACGCACACAGAGAGAGTCTCCAAGAACACACACAAGCACAATGGAGTAGCAATAATAATTATTATAGGATAAACACAGATAGCAAAAACACATTAACATTAAGAAACAAAAAAGAAGAGAATATCCCAACAGGTGGAAGATTAGTTAGATTGTAGGGATGTATGCAAAAAAAGAAAAAGAAAACAAAGGATGACCTGAGTCACACCACCACCATTACAATCAGCACACAAGAATACAGGCCAGTGTAACCACAATCAGTAGTGGCACACGCACCCACACAGAACTGCTGATACTGCTGCTGCTGTCTGCATCACCCTTTTTGTTGTTTGTGAGTTCAGGAGGAAGTGTTGTTGTAGTTGTAGTGGTGGTGGTGGTGGTGGTTGTAGTTGATTCCCCATTAGCTGGGTTACTTGCTGACTCACTCCCTTCAGGTGTACTGCCACTCCCAGTGTTTGCAGTATCCGAATTATCGGTACCCGTTGTATCTGAATTGTTTGAAGAAGAAGACTTTTGTGCGCCACCCTGCTCGTCTGTTGCTTCGGTTCCTTCTCTTGTGCTGTTGGCATTACTTTCTGTATGACGTGCACCTCCAGGTTCAACATTACCACTCACCCTAGCAGATGAAGCTGCAGCAGAAGATGCACTCGATTCTTCTTTTTCAACAAGAGTACCACTACCAGGATCACCTTTGGTACCTTCCGAATCATGTCCATCAACTTCTTGCGGTGACTTTCCCTCAAGTGGATCCTTTAACGATGACCCCGGCTTCGCAGGAGCTCCTCCCACATGTTCAGCCTCAGAAGAGTGAAGAGATGTTTCCGGTGCCAAAACGTTCTTGCTACCCGGCGTCCGGTCTCCTTCCGTTCCTTTTCCTCTTTCACCTGACGCTCCTCTACCGTCACCAGGTCCAGTTGTAGTAGTAATTTGAGGACATTTTTCTTTAGTAGCTTTAGGATCAGCAGGGCATTCATTTCCACCAGGAGCCTGTACCTTTTGACAAGAAGACTTATCATCACTAGGAGGACCATTAGTGCAATTACGATCGCCATTACCATCACCACTTTCACTCTCACTCCCCGTATCAGGGAGTTGGTCGGAAAGATCGGCGGCAGGCACTTCTTCAGCGAGGACGTGCACACACGCACATGAGAGCAGGAGAGCGAGGATACACAGCACGTGGCGCATCATTACCATTACAATACTTCTTGTAGTAGTCTTACTTCAATCGCTTATAGAAAAAGAAAAACAGAAACAAAGTGAATCAATGGAAACAAGAAAATGAGAACACATACCAAATCAAACAACAATCAACAATTACAGCAGAAGCACACAAAGGAAAAAAAGACGCAACCATAACTCATATAATACCCAAATAAAAGTAAACACCCACACAATACCCAATACCAAACAGATAATCCCAATAAACCCCTCAAAAGAAAAAAAAGAAATTAAAGAGTACAACCATCAGAAGAATAAAGCACAGAAATACATCAAAAATGCCTCTTCCTGTAGGACCAAGCACAATTACAAATATACTTATGTATTCCTTATCATTTTTTCACCCCACAAAACACTACAACACACAAGAATGCAGGAAAAAGCACACAGCGCCCAAGCAAAGAAAAGGTGAACAAAAACAAAAATTAAGAAGAGGACCAACTGCACAAAAATAACTCACAGACCACTGGGTATGCTGGTGTGTTCAAGCACACAAGAATACAAATTGTATTAACTACTACTTTTTTTTCCCTCGTTCTACATAAAGCAGACTACCACAGCCGTGAAAGTCAAAACACACAATAACCCAGCAAACGACTAGCAAACAAAAACATATTAACCATTAGCCCAATTTACACAGTAAACACAAGAAATACACCAACTATGGGTGTCAGTCTATATGTGTGTATATGCAATGATAAATATAAATTCATCTGTTATTATTATTTCTTTTTTTCCCACTGCAAAAAAGAAGTCCTTCATCATTACAGTGCAAGCCCAGGCACACAGAGAGAGAGAGTCTCCAAGAACACACACACACACAATGGAGTAGCAATAATAATAATTATAGGAATAAACACAGTGAAAGCAAAAACACACACAAAACACACATGAACATTAAGAAACAAAAAAAGAAGAATAGTCCCAACAGGTGGAAGATTAGTTAGACTGTAGGGATGCATGCAAGAAAAAGAAAAACGAAAACAAAGGATGACCTGAGTCACACCATCACACCACCATCACAATCAGCCCACAAGAATACAGGCCAGTGTAACCACAATCAGTAGTGGTACACGCACCCACACAGAACTGCTGATACTGCTGCTGCTGTCTGCATCACCCTTCTTGTTGTTTGTGAGTTCAGGAGGAAGTGTTGTTCTTGTTGTTGTTGTTGTTGTGGTGGTGGTGGTGGTGGTTGTATTACCCACATCACCTTCTTGGTTACTTGTTGACCCAGTTCCTGCAGATGTATTGTCATTCCCAGGTGTTGCAGTATCAGAACCATCACCACTCACTGTGGCGGAAGTGTTAGAAGAGTCAGCAGAAGGTTGTGTTGCCGCAGTTTCATTGTTATCTCCATTTCCACCCTCACGTGGTGTATTGTTGCCGTTGCTTCCAGGTTGGCCATCAACTGAAGACTCAACAGCACTCCCCTCAGGAGGTTGAGGAGTTTGAAGAGTAGGAGTAAGAGCAGGACCAGTAGCTGAAGGAGGTTCAGAAGAAGAAGAAGAAGCACCACCACTAGGTTCAGCAGCATCCACCACAGATTCTCTTTGGTCACCAGACCCACCAATTGGATCTGGTTTACCAAGTACCTGGCCATCTCCTTGAGGATTATTTATACTTCGAACCGGTTCCTCCGGTGGTAGTGGACAATGTGCATCACTAGATCCACCACTGCAACTGTCTTCCTTCTTAGTTTCCTTAGGAATGCAAGTTTCCGACCCAGTAGACGTCTCACAATCAGTACGAGAAGAATCAGAATCACTACGGCCGGTATTACAAGTAGTACCTGAAGCACAAGTACCCTCACCATCAGGAGGAGGAGGAGGACCAGGTGGTGGTGGTGGACCCGGAGGTGGAGGTCGGGCACCAGCAGAAGGGGCAGGTGTACAAGTTTGACCATCAGGAGGTGGATCAGCACCTTTAGCACAAGTACCACCAGCAGGATCAACTGCAAGAGTTTCAGAACCCACCTCAGCTGTCACACACAAAGAGAGAACACTCAACACCAATGCGAGCAAACACAACACACGAGACATCATCACGACAGCAAGATTTAGTTTGTTGTTTTAGGCCACTTGAATGCAGAAGAAAGAAGAAGAGATAAAGAAAATTAATACAAACACGCAATACATTAGAAACACACACAGAGAGAAACAAAGGAGAGCACAACACACAACAATCAGTCACACAAAACAACATGAGGAGCAAACGAAAAAATAATTAGTAACACCAAAAAAAGAATACTCCACCATCACTCAGAGAACAACGAAAGAGCACCCCACAATACCCAAATAAGAGAGAGAGCCAAACACACACACAATACTCCATGGCTCTAGTTTATGTACTAAATTACTGCACACACACACACATCTGTGTGTACGAGCAAGAGATGTATACCGTCAGTGAGCAGAACAGCCCAGTTTTCTGCAAACACACACAACGGGAAAAGCAAGTGATGGAATTATTAGAAAAAGAACACATACACATAAAAGTAAAAGAAAATAAATTTCAATTAAAAGAGAAAGCTGGTAAACAGATTATTAGTTTATTCACCCATGGGGGATGAACGCAATTATGATTATGTTAGCTTAACCACTATTATTATTTGTCCTCAGATGAGTACCACTGTTCAGTACATGGTAACGAATACCACTACAGCCACAATCAGTAGTGGCACACGTACCCACACAGGACTGATACTGCTGTCAACATTAGCCTTGTTCGTCTGTACTGTGGAAGCGATGGTGGTGATCTCTGCGTTGGCTACAGGAGATGGAGTAGAGGTTAATTCCTCATTATTACTGGTTGTATTGGGAGTGTCAGTGGTTATGCTCTCTGATGTATTCGTTGTTGTGTCTGGAGACTCAGTACCGTTGGCCTCAACATTCTTAATATCTTCTTGGCTTGAGTTACCAGGAGTGCCATCAGATGCAGTTGTATCTGCGCTTGTCTGTGGTGAAGGTGTGGTAGAAGAAGCCCCTGAATCCCCAGTTTCCTTGGGGACTGTATTTGTGTTGGATACGCTGTTGGGATCAGATGGAATGTCTCTTTCCTGAGGGTCCTGGGACTCTTTGGGTTTCTGTTCTTGTGTCAAAGTAGGGTTCATTTCTCCTTGTTGTACGTTTGATTTTGGATCCTTGACCTGTGTCGGTGTGGGCTTAACATCAACGGTGGGCGTTAACGTCTCAGGAGCATCATCAGTGTTCGCTTTTTCTCTCTTCATACCACCTTCAGTGCTTTCCTCTTGTGGTCGATGTTCCTGACTTGTTCTCACCAATTGCTGTTCTTGCACATGAACAGTCTCTACTGTAGGATCTCTTCCAACACCTCCCACTTGAGGAGAAGTGGGAACACCACTGCCTCGAGGTTGTACCTCTATAATACGCAGAGTACCTAACTGTTCCTCAGGATCTTCGCCAGAAGGTCCTGGAGCGCCAGAAGCGAGAGTAGTACCTCTAGAAAGTGGATCCGAGTTAGCGGACACGCATAAAGAAGAAACAATCTCCAGAAAAAACAGCAAACAAAAAAAAGGTCGCATTATCATGGTAAAAGTAGTTAATTGTAATTCTTCTGATTCACTTGGTTAAAGAAAAATGAACAGAACAGAAAAAAAAAATCCAATAACACAGACAAAAAAAGGCAAAGAAAACAAAACAAGAAAACCAAAAGCCACAAACAACAACGCTTACAGTAAAGAAAAAAAGCTCAATAAAGAACCAAACAAACAAAAAAAAACCAAAAACAACAAGAAGCAAAAAAAAAAAAAATTGACAGCACAAACCAATGGCATCACCAGCTCAATCAAACAACCCAAAGAACGTTCGTTATGCTGCTGTGCATAAAAAAACATATTTGTAACAGTTATTATTTGTTTTCTCCTGGCTGAAGACAAACAATCAAACAAAAAGTGCAGGGCAAAGCACACAACGACCAAGCAAACCATAAGCAAACAAACAGATATTACCAATAGAGCCCAATTTACCCAGTAAACACAGAAATACACCAACTATGGGTGTACCTCCATATGTGTGTGTATACGCAATTATAAATATATATTCATCTGTTATTATTATTTCATTTTTTCTCCAGTGCAAAAAAGCAGTTCATCATCATCAT